TATATATGAAGAAAAATAAAATAAACTTCTCCGTAAGTTGAAACTAGCTTATGCATAAGTTAAAGTAAGATTTTAAATCAAAATATTGATAATTTAGTTATTAGTGACATTTGCTATAGGCCTACAGAAGATGGGGTTTGGGTCTTATCATCTTAGTAATTTTATGTCTAAAATCATTTCTTAGGTTAATGAATTGTAATTGTGTTCCTCTTGTCTAGGTTATGAAGAGTAATTTTATGTCCAAAATCATTTCTTAGGTTAATGAAGTTCATTTCTTTGTTAGATTTCTCTTTTGGAGAATTGGACACCTAATGTATCTGAAGGTAAATTATCTTTCTGACATTAGATTTTGAATGGATCTTTATGTGGAGGATCTTTCTTGCTTTCTATTTTGCATCATTCTTCCATTCTAAACTACTATGATAATATGGACTCTGCCATGTTTCAGAACTCATACTTTAAAACAGGCTACATCATGAAATATTTTCTGTTAAAATTCAGAGGTTTTGACACGTGTAAGGAGGGCACACTGTTATGTTAGTGTGTCATAGATGCTGTTATCTAGTATCTATGGTTGGCAAGAGACTTCAGGATGCTGATAGGGAGGTTTCTATTCCTGAACTTACTAAGCGGCATGAACATGACTATATAAGCCTATCTATGATATTTGGTGCATGTTATCACTTCAAGGAAAATCTTTGGTACAAATGTAGAGATCTTTTTGCAATCTCTTCAATTTAGGAGCCATCCAGAGTCCTCATAGTACTTAGTGTCTAAGTCTACTCTGGACTATTCAAGAGACTTTTAGAAGCCAAGGAGCGGATTTTTTTTTTCTTCAAGTTTTGGGGGATAAGGGAGGTTGCTTTAGGAAGTGGCCATGTACTATCTCGAGGGGTTAGCATTGTCATTGTCTTGTAAAGAGTATTTTGACCATCTTCGTAACTAATGTGGTACATCTTAACACATCCTTTCATGCCTAGGGTTGGACTTTTAGAACGTGAAGTTTGCAAGACTATACATCTGTTGGTGATCTAACATTGAGATTGAATAGGTGTTGTTACCATGTTAATTTTAGAGGGGAAGATTTAAGATGGAGTTACTAAATGGAAAAAGAGAATATTTTAGAGACAAGAACTGAATGAAAAGGCTTTGTTATATTTAGTTGAACTTGAATGCTATGTTGAACATCAATACATGTAGACTCTTAATAGACTAAGGGGAACTTTTTCCTTGGCTAAAAGTAAATGGGTACAACTTCCTAGATACATGAATTTGCAACTCCTCAAATACACAACCCTACTGTTTCTTAAGTACATTAAGCATTGTTATTTACACTGAACACTCTAATAGCAATTTGTTGGAGTGTCACCAGCAGTTGCGGTCACTGGACAATGTTGCTTGGATGGCTTGATGGCAGAGGAAAAGGCCAGTGGAAAAGAAGGGAAAAATAAAGAATAAAGCTACTGAAATCAAAACAGTGGAGCAGATATTTGACGCGATAGTCACAGTGGATGCTACTACTTCAATACTATATTGTTAATGGATGAACCTAACTCAGCACCAAAAGCTAGTTCAAGGGGAGAGAATTTCCCATGTCTTATAAGGAGTATTTTGGTCATATTTCTAACCAATTTGGGACATCTTAACATAGATAAATATTTTATTATATTCATGCAAACAAAAATTTATATGGGATTGTACTGGTCTGTCCTTGGCTGGGGTGGGCCCTGCATCCCATCTGAGATCTAGATTTGCTAAATTTTAAGAGAAAGAAGAATCTCTTACGAAAAGATAAAGATATGATGCATACATGACTTCTCATGCCCCATAAGCTGCATTATCTTACCTAGTTCCCATGTATTTGGTTCCATATTTTTAAAGCTAGATAATGTATCATGTAGGTAGGAAATATATTTTCTTCCGGGATGGTTCTATTCCTTTTGTTTGTCTTTATTCTAAAGTTTTCCAGCTGAAGAAAACTGTCTCATAAAATTTGAAATAGAAAATTCAGCATCAAACATTGGTGAACGTATGAAAACACAAATACTGTACCAGATTCTTGGCAGGAAATATATTTTCTTCAATCCTATGTTTGTCAACGGTAGGAAAGGATAACCAAAAATGAATAAAATGATCCCAATAAACGTGGGTAAGTTCTGCATCAATTATTACCTGCATTTCTTTCTACCAGATGTTTGTATGCTTGATATGTACTTCTGAATGCAGTTCTCAGTTAATTATCTTTTTGTTTTATCACATCTTGCTCCTGAATTCTTCTACAAATGTTCAATGTCTGAATAAAACTCCCCCCACACCCAAAAAAAAGAGGGAAAGATACAATTAGAATATTTTTTGTCAATTGTAATTTTTATGAAAAAAAAAAATATATCAGCAATGAAAAGCAGACAATACATTGACACACTTCATGTTTTGTTTATCTATCTTCAAAATGTTAGGCAAGGATCATCGAAGGACACGTGTTGCAAATTCTTATTTCTCCTTGTTTATGGCTATTGGTAATATTCTTGGATACGCTACTGGCTCATATAGTGGCTGGTACAGGGTCTTTACTTTTGCACTTACCCCGGCATGCAATATTAGTTGTGCAAATCTCAAGTCTGCTTTCTATCTCGACGTTGTTTTCATTGTTGTCACCACCTATATCAGCATTGTGTCAGCTCATGAAGTGCCCTTAAGTTCAAGTGGGGCACAACAAGTTGAAGAAGCAACAGGGGAATCAGGTGCTGCAGGAGAAGCTTTCCTGTGGGAGCTATTTGGGACTTTCAGATATTTTTCAACCCCTGTATGGACAATACTATCTGTTACTGCTCTAACATGGATTGGTTGGTTTCCATTTCTCCTATTTGATACTGATTGGATGGGCCGAGAAATTTATGGTGGTGAGCCAAATGAAGGCCCTAATTATGATGCTGGAGTTAGAATGGGGGCGGTTGGCTTATTGCTTAATTCAGTTGTTCTTGGAGTAACATCAGTACTCATGGAGAGGCTTTGCAGAAAGCGGGGGCCTGGGTTTGTGTGGGGAATCTCAAATATCCTAATGGCTGTCTGCTTTGTTGCAATGCTTGTTGTAACCTATGTGGCAAATTACATTGGCTATGTAGGCAAAGATCTACCACCAACTGGCATTGTGATAGCTGCATTGATAATCTTTACCATTCTTGGGTTTCCACTTGCAGTGAGTTGATCTATTTCCTACTAAAAGCATTTTGTTTGTTCTTTTTTTTTTTTGTCAATATTGAAGGCACCCTTTCTGTCTCCTATTTTCCTTGAAACAAGACTCAAATTCTGACTTTTTGCATGTTTTCAGTGGGTCGTACATATGAAGTATCTTAATTGACTTGATTTTGGCTGCATGATCTTTTTAGCTCAAACTGACTTTCGTTCTCCTATGTTTCATAAAAGAAACAGTAGTATTATGTTCTTCGATTTTTCTTTTAAAAAATCTCGGTGGCTCAAAGTGTTGTGACTCTATCTTGGCAGCAGTCTGCTTATCTCAATCTGGCATATTTTCTATTCGTTTTAAGAATCATGATGTGTCACAAATGAAAATTTGGAAACGGTCCCATTAATTTTACCCAAGTTTGTGTTTATATTATTTGAGAGTTCTATGTAATTTAATTTGACTTCTTATATCAATTATTTCAGATCACTTACAGCGTTCCATATGCCTTGATTTCCACTCATATTCAGTCATTGGGGCTTGGTCAAGGTGGGCAAGATTGAAGCCTTATTCTTTCTTAGATATGTGATTTTAGGACTATTTATATTAAGTGTTGGTATTTTCAGGATTGTCAATGGGAGTCCTAAATCTTGCAATAGTGATCCCACAGGTATTGCTCTGCATTCCTTTTTAAATTATCCTTATTTATTTGTGTTTCTTTAGTTGGGGGTGGGGGCGGTGTTGAGATCCAAACAATGTTCTATGATATTGTTTGACATTCCAAGTAAATGTTAATGCGAACGTTTTCAACTTCAACTCTGTTGAGAAGAGAAAACAAAAGACATTATTAAATTTGCATGTCAACGCACACAACAACTTATGAAAAACCCCATAAAGGCGATGAGTATCCTTGATGTAAAGAACCTTTGCCCATTCCCAAACTTATGAAAAGTTCTCGTGAGCATGAAATATCTCCTGCTAAGAGGGTTGAATGGTGAACACTACACAACTAGACATCAAGAATTTCATATCTTAGATTTTGGGTCTAACTTATCCCCACAAAACCAGTTTGTAAGGTGATTGGTGAGAGGTGCCTAAGCTTTATAAGCTTTTATTAACAACTATCTCTAGTCAATATGAAACTTGGAATTTTTTCAATACACCCTCTCACTTGGTATTATTCAACTTGATGCATAAATAAAATGATCAGCTGTTCAATAATGGATTTAGAATAGGCCTTAATACTATTTAGAATTTAGGTTTTAGTCTAACACGACCTTAAAAGTTAGCTCACGAAGTGAGGGTTTAGGATAGGCTTTGATACCATTAAACATTGATGGACAGTGATTGGGAAGGCACAAAATAGGGTCATTTCTTCTTATGAGGCTCTAGATACCATGTTGAGAAGAAGAGAAAATAAGTGGCAACTGAATCCATGTGTGAATGTACACAAGAATGTTTATTATTTTATATGACACTAGTAATAGTTACAGTAAAAATAATTGTCTGATTACTATAATTATGTAAATTGTAGGATTGTCAAAATATCATAGTTAGACATCTACAACATCTAATGAACTCTAAAAATTTATTTAGTTAAATGTCAAAATAGTCTTGACTCTTGAGGAGTACAATCACAATTTCATATCACTTTATAAAAATGAAATATATAAAAAGAATAATCAATTCATTGATGTTGATCCGTGTCTTGGGACACCATTAATGGCAAAATGCAGTACAATTATTGGCTCTGATCTTGTACTGTGAATTTCCCTTAACCTAAACATGAAACGTGATTTATAGTTCTCTCCCAAGGTATTTTGCTGAGTAAAACTGAGCGCAGTAATTTTCATTCAGGGTTCAAATTGCCATCAACGGAGATGTCTTTTGACTTGGAAACAAAAAAATTGGCATGGGAACTGTGACAAAAATTTAGAGAGTCGTGTCATGCTTTATGCAGCAAAAAAAAAGTGTCAAGATATTTCTAATACAGGAATCCTTTTTAAAGGTGTCCATGCTTATGTTTTTTACTTTTATTTTGGTCAACTTATTCCCACTTTTCATCTGTACAGTGGAAGACAATTAAAAGCTGTCCATTATTACAAGAGTACAACAAGAATCTATTTCAAATAGGCACAAAAACAACCGACCTACCTAATTATTTTTTATCTCCAATAATCCCTTTGCATATATCTCGAGAAGATTTTATCATAGACTATGAAGCACGGATACTTCAATTTGTTTCACGTATCCGTATCCGATACGTATCCGACACGATACTCTTGGATACTTCACCGATACTTGTCAATGAAGTATTCTTGCCTTTAAAAATATTATAAAAATTTTATTCAATTTTGATACTTTCATATACTTCACTGATATTTATTAATGATACATATTAATAAAGTGTTCAAATTTTTGAAAAATTATGAAATATCCATTATAGCTAAATAAGATATATAAACATGTTTAATATAGAAACATAGAACTATTGGTCTTTGATGAACTGTAAATGAAAATTGTCTTCTATGTAGATAATTTTAAGAAAGGAATGAAATTGGTAATATTATTTCTATTTGTAAATAATAAAAAGTAATTTATGATGAAATGATTTATAATTTATTTACTTTTAGTAATGTACAATAAGTATGTTTTTAATTTGGATTTGTAAAAGAGTAATTATATATTTAATATTTATGAATTTTGATCAAAATTACAAGTATACATTTATTATATTGTATGAACATTAATATATATGATGACACGTATCTTACAAGTATCGTATCCTATATATTTTTAAATAATCGTATCGCCGTATCGGATACGTATCGTATCCGATACGCGTATCGTATCGGTGCATCATAGATCATAGATATCGTGACCTAAGATTTTATATCTCATGAAAGATTATTAAGAAAGAATCCTCAAGAGTATGAGCCTGAGCCCGAAAACAAAAAAGTTAGGACAACTGCTAAAGCCTTTAAAATTAGTTGAAAGAAATTTAGATTGAAGGATACACAATTCGTTGAGAACTTCACATTGCCTACTATACAGGATGTGACCTCTGGAGAAACTATATATGTATGTCAATTAAATGCACTATACTGGGACTTGCATAATGGTCTATGTTCATTGGTTCAGGCTCTGCTTTGACTTTGCTCATTCATTATGAGCCCCAATTAATACCACTATGGAAAACCAATTCACGCTGCTGAAGAAAGTACATAAAATAACGATCTCAATGAATTCACTTTTCTTGATCCATCAAAGTCGGAAATTAGATATTGTTCGAGACAAAGTAGGGCAATAAGATTTAGGCAGAGTAGCCTGGCTATTTTGTACCGTCATATAGTTTAATGAAATTTTGATTTGTACTTTTGGTTTCTTCCAAATGCCACATTTTAAGTAACTGATTGACAGATTCCAATCAATCCAGTATACCTAAACTATAGAATTGTTTTTAAGGAATGTTAGTAACACATTAATACATTCTTTCTGACACAGTCTTATTAGTTGACACTTGACAATTATTGAAGGCTATGAAATCATGAATGGAGTTGATTAAATAATGAGTGGGATCCACACAATTTTTTGATTTCCAACAGATTTCAACCGATAGTAAAAATTGTGTTAGAAATAATATGTTGCTAACATTTCTCTTATTTTCAAATAATGAAGTTTATGAATTATTTTATAGTTCTAGCTAATGGTGATCTATATCTTCTATCAACGAAAACTGTGAAAGGGTCTTGTTTGTGCATAGGATTTTCATATTTTGAGCTGCTGAGTTTATGCTTATCAATGTTTGAAATAGATGGTGGTGTCCTTGGGAAGTGGACCATGGGATCAGCTATTTGGTGGAGGAAATACTCCAGCCTTTGGTGTGGCAGCTGTTGCAGCCCTTGTCAGTGGATTCATAGCTGTCTTGGCTATTCCCCAATCTGGTGGTCAAAAGCCTAGAAGCCAAGTATGAGGTACCATGTTCTTTCTGCATTTGACAAGCATTTCTTTTAAAAGAGGGGTGATGAAAATGAACAGGTAGCAATAATTTGTAAATAGTTATGTTTTACTTCTGAGTGATTGTAGTCTTTTTTATTGAGCCTTCCATTAAACAAGATACCCCCCCTCCCCGGCCCAATCTTTGTCTAATATGAATAATTTATTACATGGATATGTTTTCATCTTATTGGTCATTATTTATAGCCGATGAGCTAACTTTTTAGTGCTATTAAATTTTCTGGGAATTTTGGAAGCTTTAGACTCTCTCCTTTGTCACCCTGATGAGTGAGTGGTCTGTTTAAAACAGTGAGAATGTTCTGCTTTGTTAACCATGAGGGACCCTCTACTGGCTGTAAGAAAGGATGTATTTTTTGATGTAAAAGGAACAATGTAAAAGAAGCAATTCATATAGCACTACTTTTCCAACATCCTGGCAACTCAAATATAATCATAAAAGCTGTCACCAAAATACTGATTGGAAGATTATCTGCAATCAGTGGAGAATTTCTTCATTGTAAATCAGTACGATCTGCGTAAGATGTTGCTTTCAAAGGCTAATGCAGTGGGAAAGTAGTTGGGGGCATCTTCTCTAGGTTCCAAAATTACTCATGGGCAACATCCTCTTTCCGACCAAGATGAGTTGCTGCTGTTTGGGAATTATTCCACATGAAAAATTCTTTGTTTTGAAGCAATGCTGATTGTGCGTCGATGCTTCTTCAGGCATGATGTATTGGAATCTTAAAATTTGTGCGATTTGTTTGTATTAGTTAGATGAATGTGCTTAGTGGCCAACAGTGAATATGTTAATTGTGCTGATGGAAACCTTGATTGGGACACGGTTTTAATGCCCCATTTTTTTTTTCTGACACAGTATATTTCTTTTAAAATAAATCTTGAACGACGGGTTTGATTTATAATGGTCATTTAATGTGTACATTTAATTTATCTTGCTTCTTTTGAACATGGAATAAATTCTCGTTTTTAATACACTTCACAATTCATGAAAGTCTGATTTGCTTTCAATTCTTTGTACAATGGCTTTTACTAAGACTCAAAGAGCATTTAAAAATATCAACCTTTATATCATTTGTCCTAACTATTGGTGATCTGATGTTCGAACCACGTGCCAGCTGCGCAGCTGAAATTTATCCGTCTGTAAAGGTTGGATATAGATTTTGCATGTTATTTATAATTTGCGGGTAATTAGTGTATACTGTTGCTGAGAAGATTAGATGAATGAATTGTTAGATATTATGTTGATTTTATTTTAAAACAATCCTGATTGTTAATTTCTTTTCGTTTGTTAAAAGACTGGTAATTATCGGGCACGCCTTTCCATATTAGATTGTATCTGATGTCATCCATGCGTATTCTAATGTTCAGCAGAACTCTAACAGGTAAGGAATGCTTTCTGGATTTCGTCCATAAGCATGTTAGTGTATGTCTCCATAAATGACAATTTATGTAGCCTATCGATGGAAATCAATAAAGTTATATGTTTCTCAATCTCTTAATTAAACCAAAACACAGCAAAAAGGAGAATGAGGGTTCGGTAAAATAGTTTGTCCCAGTAACGAGTTCCTACACGAGCATCTCACCTCTCTACTCGATCGTGGGAAAGGTTAGAGGAATAGAATTAACGAATCTGTTCGAAGTTCTAGAGGAGTATAATCGTTGTTAATGTCAAAGTTAAGACTAGTCTCATCATTCTTTTCCCCAAACTTGCATTTTAGTAGTTTGTTACGTCGCAAAAAGTTCTGGCTGATTGATCCCCACTATGTCAACTTGTTTTAATATATCTTTTTGATTGATAACAGCAAATTTATGCGCCATTGATTGATAACGTGATCCTGAACTGGTGTCTGCTTCAATCCCTTGGATTGGAGGGATCTCTAGAGCTTACTCAGCTGCACTTTGGCAATGCATTAGGGTGCCAAATTCGAGACGGGTTTCTTCCAATTCATATTCATTTTTTGGATGAGACTGGTTCTTTCAGATTCTCCATTGTCAGAACTTACTGTTGCTTTATTAATTAATTCGAAAGCATTGGTTCCCTTGCATGATACATATCTTTCATTCACATCAACTGGGTGAGCTAGAAACACATGGAATCTGATATGGGACGGCATTGCGTTACACGGGGTTTTTAATATAATGAAAAAACTGATGGCTCAGACCGAAAGGGAAAAGAGAGTTTATCTGCCGTGTCACGTGTGTGATGGTATAGCATATTTGCTCCTGTTTCCTCATAATATAACGCCATGCTCACAGATTAAATGGTTGTAATTGGAGCACGTAATTCTCTTTCCGGTGTTTCCCATCTCCCCATCTGTCTCTTCTCCATACGGCCAGCTACCATCATTCTCCATTAACACCACTGGTGGTCCCTCCATGACACCAACACCTACCTCCATCATCCATACATATATTTTGCATTTGTAAATAGATAGATATGATACATAAATCCATGAAGATAACCTTTACAAAATGTTAAAGTGGGAAAAAAGTGCAATATAATATACACTGGATTTAACCTTTTTATTGCTCAAAATAAATCCCCAGGAAGGAATTAATACAACTACTTTTTTAAAATGCCATGCTAAATCTCACAGCTTTGTTTGAAACAAAACTACAAATAAGGAAACCAACCTATGATTGACTGGATCACGGGACTCGTAACTTTGATTTGCAATCCTGTCTCCCTTAGAATTCTTACTAAGTTCTCATTTCTCCTAAATTGCTTGATGTCAAGAAATCATTTTCCAAATTGCAATCTGTATATAACTTGATAACGTGGTCAAGTGGACATTCGTCCACTATATTTAAATCTATCTGCTTGCTAGGGATAAAACATTCAACAAGTGATAATAATAGTAGTACATCAACCGTGTGGGACCTAAATTGGGCGCAAGAAAAACCTGCTTTATCTGGTAGACAAAGTAGTCAAAAGAATGTTTCGGCCTTCGGTTGCTTCAGATGGTCTATATATAGACAATGGTTGTGTTGGTGTTGGGAATGGAATTTATGATAAGGGCTGGGAAAGAATGAGACATGCATGGCTTGGCTTCCTTTAAGAACATGTATTGCCAAACATTATGCCAGCACTACAAATTAACAACTAGCAGCCACTGTCCAAAACCAAACAAAATATGTTGCAGTAAAGTTTTGTACAAACAAATACTCTGTTCTTATTATATTTTTAATAACTAGTATTTTTTTTCTCGATAGATTACTTGTTTTATTTTATACTTTTTTTTTTTTTGTCTTCTCTATCTATCTTTCTTTTAACAGTAAATTAATTATAAGAAAACATTGATACTAACAATTTTTTCAACTCATAGTATGTATGATATGTCATTTCAAAAGTTCCCCATGCCACACCATCACAAAACAAAAAGGGAAAATGAAATAGGAATACTTATAATAATGGTAATATACTAATATTTATGATAAAGTATTCGTTTGACAAGTTGGGGAATTTATTTTGGGTGAATTAGCTTTCTCCATCCATCACTTCCACTTGGCATTCCCAGTTTGAGGATAAAAATTCTTTGTGTTCCATTCACAGGGAAATCCAAAGCCAAATGTGGTGTTTTAAAGGATTATCCACATACAATCCACTCCATTAATAACTAGGCGAGTTTAAACCACTATTATCGCAATCATTATCAAACCGAAGTCTGTCATTGATTTGGCGGCTAAAACAACCATTAAAGAATAAATCCATCCATCCCTTTTCCAGAGTTGTATGTGCTGTTGTTCTTCACATGCCACACCTAAATTGTGTTTTCACCTTTTTAATAAATAACAATTATTATAATGACATATTCTTCAATTTAAGACAAAGATAGAAGGTCGGTTGCCTCCCAATATCTCCACCAAGCATTTCTTCCGTTCAAGCTTACTCTTTCCCCTTTCACCCTTGTTTTTTATAAAAAAAATTGCCCTGTAATCTGTAATTGATATCTGTATACAATATAACAAACACTCATAGACAAGAAATAAGTAAAAAATAGAATAGAGAGAGTGAAGATAAAAGAGGTAAAATTAAGAGAAATTGTTTGATCGAAGAGAAATAAAGACGAGAAAAATTAAAGCATAGTAAATTTCACTTATTTATTTATTTATTTCTTTATCTTCTCTCTTATATGAATTTTATTTTTCACACATTTTTGATTTATTTCGCTTCAATTAAATAATTAAATTTTTTTTTTTTTTTATCTATTTCTATAAAATTTTATTTCTCTCCTCCTTATTTCTCATGAATATTTTTCTTCTGAACCAGGAAGTGTAAGGTATGTAGGGCCCAGGCTTTTCATGCATAAATAAACACTGACCTTCGTCTCTCCCTCTCATACACCTACAAAACGTTCTCTTCCTCCGAAACGCAGTGCACGATCAGTCAGCCGAAGCCAAGAAGCAATATCAACGGTAGCAGTGCACATTCAAGCCTTTGTTTATATACACCTCTCCCTCTCTTTCTGCGTGTGTGTCTATATATCCATCGTGGAAGTAAAAGGGAGTCATGTGTAATCCAAAAGCACCCTCATCATCAACATTTCTGTGTCCCACAAAAAACCACATCATAACTCCGGAGCCCAAAGAGATAAATGACGTCCCTCCCCACGACGATCAAGCTGAAGACGAACTTGAGAGATGGCCAACTCCCAATGAGGTATTAATAAAAGAAAAAAAGAAGCTAGGCAACAAGTTGATGTATGTAACTAAGTAAATAAAATGAAGTGGCAAGTGGTGAGTGATGCATGATGCATGATGAAAAAGAAATAATGCGAGTTTCCTTTGGTTCAGGTGATAGAAGAAATGAAGGCCTTAGGGAAGATATCAGGGCCAACAGCGGTGACGGGGTTGCTCCTATACTCCCGGGCCATGATCTCGATGCTGTTCCTGGGGTACCTCGGGGAGATGGAGCTGGCGGGAGGGTCCCTCTCGATAGGGTTCGCGAACATCACGGGGTACTCGGTGATATCGGGCCTGGCCATGGGAATGGAGCCCATCTGCGGGCAGGCCTACGGCGCGAAACAATTAAAAACTCTGGGCCTAACCCTGCAGAGAACGGTCCTCCTGCTGCTCTCAACCTCCCTCCCCATCTCCCTCACGTGGCTGAACATGAAGAGCATCCTCTTATGGTGCGGGCAGGACCAGCGAATCTCCTCCACCGCACAAACCTTTATACTCTTCTCCATCCCCGACCTCTTCCTCCTCTCGCTCCTCCACCCTCTCCGCATCTACCTCAGAACACAAACCATCACATTGCCCTTAACCTACTGCTCCGCCCTCTCCCTCCTCCTCCACCTGCCTCTCAACTTCCTCCTCGTCGTTCACTTCAAAATGGGAGTCTCCGGAGTCGCCATAGCCATGGTCTGGACCAACCTCAACCTCTTCCTCTTCCTCTCCTCCTTCGTTTACTTCTCCGGAGTCTACAAAGACTCCTGGGTCCCACCTAGCACCGACTGCGTCAAAGGCTGGGGTTCTCTCCTTGCACTCGCCATCCCCACCTGCGTCTCCGTTTGTTTAGAATGGTGGTGGTACGAACTCATGATTCTCCTCTGTGGACTTCTCCTCAACCCCAAGGCCACCATTGCTTCCATGGGAATACTCATTCAAACCACTTCCTTGGTTTATGTTTTTCCTTCTTCCCTCAGCCTCGCTGTCTCCACCAGAGTCGGTAACGAGCTCGGCGCTAACCGCCCCGCCAAGGCTCGCATTTCCATGATAGTCTCGCTCGCCTGCGCCCTCGCCCTGGGTGTCTCCGCCATGATATTCACCACCTTGATGAGACACCGCTGGGGGAGATTCTTCACCTCCGACGAGGAGATTCTCGCCCTCACAGCCGTCGCTTTGCCCATTGTGGGCCTGTGCGAGCTCGGGAACTGCCCGCAGACCACGGGCTGCGGCGTGCTACGTGGCAGCGCCAGGCCCACTGTTGGCGCCAACATTAACTTGGGCTCGTTTTACCTCGTCGGCATGCCTGTGGCGGTTCTTCTTGGGTTCGTGGCGAAAATGGGCTTTCCTGGGCTGTGGCTTGGGTTGCTTGCGGCCCAAGGCTCCTGCGCGGGTCTCATGCTATTCGTTCTCTGCAGCACCGACTGGAAGGCGCAAGTGCGAAGGGCCAATGAGCTGACCAAGACTGGGAAATTGTTGCCTACCACGGACTCTAACAATAACATTAACATTAATGTTTGTCTTCCGGAGATTGTTGTCGCGGATGATGAGGCTACCATTACCACCAAGACACCTCTTGAAACAGACCCTCTCATCACACACACTCTAAATTAATCATTTAAGCAATTAATTAGTTGATTAACCCGCTTTCATTCCTTGGGGAGAGTCGAAATGTGACTTTAGATGTACTCTCGAGTGTGCAAAGAAGAATTACATTTTCTTTTCCCCTTGCTTGTCCCACATCGGTTATCATCTTCTTCTCCTTCTTCTCTTTTTCTAGGTAGTCGCGTTAGTAATAAAAGCTCCTTTGAACTAAGGTTTATGTAAAGCGTTAATAGGATATCCATATTTATATTTTAATGGATTGAGGGTTTTTAAATTATAAATGTTAATAATAGCTAGCTACTTAGGTGAGAAAATATATATATATAAAGAACCATGGTCTTTGATTACTTTTCCTCAGGACCATTCAGAGAAAGAGGGAAGCATTGTCGGTTTTTATTGAAGGAAAACAAAAGGGGCTTCTGCCTAACGTTCGAGTTGTTCCCTTCCACAAAGGGCAAAATTCTTGACTGTCTATAAATGGAAAAGGAAACCCTCTAAGCCTAACCCATCTATTTAAACTCACTTTTCTTCTATCTAAAAAAATAATTTATGTAAAACATGCATAGGAATGAAATGGTAGGATAAGAAGAAGAAGAAGAAAAAAAACCTTCCCAATCATAGAATGATAATAATAGTTATACATGGTGTTGAGTTGATTATAAACCTAAAATTGGAGGGATGTAGCTTAGCTCTAATTGTACATACCTTATCGTAAACGGTTGTCGTACAATTCCGTAATGTGCGATGAAAATTGGCCCCATGAACGTGTGTGTATTATTTAACTTTACACTTCTCACACCTCCGTGTTCTCTGTTTCATGAACAATTTCTTCTCCTCCCTCGATGACTTTCATCAGGACCACTGTATATGATTGAATGACACATGTCTGTATGCGAGAAACATTACACTTACGAAATGATATGTTTTTCAATGCACGATGCACAAATGGCAGAATGATTAGTGGTGGACGAGTTGTGACAGTGGCAATCAAAAATGCGTAGAAAGATATGCTACCTTCTTACTTAATGCTCTTTTCCATAGTGTCTGTACGACAAATAAAGATAGGATGAGCAAGGAAACAAATAGACACGGACAATGACGCGAAAAGACACAAAATTAAATTAAATAAATAAAAACTGGACATGGTGATTTGATAAATCCATACTTAAGATAATCACGGTGACATGGATAACCTGGGGTTTAGTGGCATTAAGCAAAAGTGCAAAAGGGAAAAGTGAGTGGTGGTGGAGGGAGTTATAATGAAAAGGGGTAGAAAGATAGGTGATGTTATGTTAGGTAATAGTGTGGAGTGTGGAGTGTGCGTGTGTGTATTTTGATTTTATTTGACATGGTTAATGGTCTCTGGTGTACGAAAAGAAAAGCAAGAACGAGCTTGAAGACAAGGAGACAGAGACAAAGGCACACGCAAATGGAGAGGGGTATCTGATCAGAGAGAGCAGTAAAGAATGATAACAATAATTGGTAGGAGAGAAGTATCTACTGAAGAAGGGTATTGGAGGGGCCCTGTTTGGAACTGCAGAAACAAAATCCAGCTATTATTGCCTCTGTCTACTTCTCAGATGACAAAAAAATTGGAACAGTGCCTCTGCAATGCATTACCACTTCCCCACCACCTCATTTGTTTTTCTCCAACACCACTAATATGAAATATGAATTCAACCCACATTTTTTTTAAATATATAACCCCTTTTCTTATTTATTTTCTACATTTTCTTTTGTATATATAGCACGTGTTTTATCAAAAATAATCATAGTTAAGTCGAAAAAGAGTACATTATGAATAATAATTCTTTTTAATATCTAACACACACACACATATATTAAAATTTAATTTCGAAACTGATTAAGATAAAAATAATTTCGTACTGGTCCATGTTATTTGTTATTTTGTTGATTTTATTTACAACACTGAGTATGAGAAGATATGGTACAGGGCCCATATCATATTCTGCAGTTTAGAGTGGAAGGCCATGTTTGTCGTGGTCTCCTTTTTTTCTTCCCGACCACCTAGTGCTTCTCTCATATATCTCACCTTATCTTCTAATTTTCAACTTGTGTATAAATAATATCTTCATCTGTATCTATCTATCTATCCTAGTATTACTTCATACTTATGCACTTGTGGCAAAGAATTGTCTTTATAATGAGTGGTACAGCATCAACATTTCCTAGATTTCATAATGGGTATCCAACATTTTTAGTTTCCAACACAGATTGTGTGGATATATGCATCCACTCCAAAGGGGCTTATCACACCCCCTGCATTTTTCTATTATTTATTTATTTATTTAGTCATATCTCTGAGATAAAGTTTTGTTCCTATTCCTTATTCATATTATACATATTCCTCGGAAAGACATACAAATATATGGTAGAGCTTTTTGAAAAACAATGTAGCCACACTTGGTAATCAATTCACCAGATTTTGACTATTGCAATGCTACTATTAAAAATTTTAATAGGCTGTTGATTTTCATACTTAAAAACATGTATTGTTTCCTACTTTCTAGAGTACTGTAACGGACTTTAGAATAAAGTGCATTGGCATTCCATAACTTATAAGGGTTAAATTAACGAAACTTGCATAAAAAATTTCCACTTACGAGGATTTGTGCAAGTTGGTATTGTCATCATATATTTACATAAGTGAAAGCTGTTTTTATGCCACCTTTTTCTTCCGTATAGCTACTTTTTTTTCCCTTCGCGCATAGCTTAGTTAGATGTATAACATATGTCATGTATGCATGCTCGAATGGTATATATACATATATATATATATAAGGAGCGTATCAAGTGAGAGAAAATTTATTATGAGAGATGAGAGGGTTAAAATATAATCTTTAGATTAATTTTACGAATTCTCAAATTTCAGCGTATCAAGTGAGAAAATTAATCTAAGGGTGTTAGGCGCAGGGACGGAGCCAGGATTTCAATACTGGGGGGCCGAGAATTGGAATGATCAAATGAGGCGCTACATTTTTTTTTAAAAAAAAAAATTCCAAAGTGATACCACATAGCAGGCCGTACCAGAAGTCCAAAAGTTGAATAAAAAAATAAATTTGGGTTATTCATTTAATTATACATATGAGTTTATATTAAAAATAGGGGGTGCCATATAGTAATATATATGTATATAAAAAAAAATTAAAATTGTTGGGGGGGCCGTGGCACCCGTAGGTCCCCCCTTGGCTCCGTCCTTGGTTAGGGTCACTCGGAAAATATGCGAAATTACTCGAAAAAGAGGAGATTGGACGAAGTATCTACCAAAAAATAATGAGTTCATAAAGCATGCTTATTCGATGATCAATCGAAAAATCAAAAAATACAAAGGAGGAGTTATTGAAGGTTTTGAGCAGTTGAGTGGTAGTTATTTGGTCGAAAAATTGAAAAAACGTGGGGTGAATGGTTGAGAGATTAAACGTCGTTGACATAGTGGACAACGATTGCGCACCCACGATGTACGTGCACTAAGTTAACCGCTCTCGAATAATTCTATAAATACAAGAGACAAACTCCTTCACAAAGGTCAGAAAATTCATACTCGCACTCTACAAGCACTCACCGCCTGCGCATATGGCTTCCGTGCATAGAATTGCTGGGTATGGCAAATTCTTGACCACATTTCTTTTCTTTTTCTATGATTAGTGTAGTTTTCTTCTTTTTATCACGTAGTTATAGTTTGTTTAACTTCAATATTGTAATTGTATCTTGATCATTATGCGAAGTGGACTATGATTTGTATTATTAATATACTTATTGTTCATTCCATTCATTTGAGCATCTATATGCATGAACATTATTGCTTGATAATCATTAATGAAAATCTAGAAACAAGTAATTATTAATCTTTCTACTCCGTTTTTTCTTATTCCTAAAAGTTCAAAACGTAAAATACCTAAATTGAAACAAACTAGTGCTAGTTCGAATAAAAAGGACTCATAAATGAATTCCACCACAAACAAATTGGCACGCCCGGTGGGACACGTTTAATTAAGAACATAATTGAACTAGTTTTAGGTATGTTTTATGAGACTTAGGAGTGGAAGAACAATGTCTACGTCTAGGGAGGTACAGGATGACGTTCCAAGAGATACAGAAAATAGAAACCCAAACACCCAAGCGAAAAATATAAACATCAATGGGGAAAATGTAACGGTCTTGACAAGGGGGGCAACGCCACCCAATATGGTACCTGAGAATGTGGTGAGGCAAATAAGTGTGTCTCAAGAAATTTTTAATACCACTCGAGAGTATCCATGGGGTATGCCACCAAACTGGCGGACTACTTAACCCGTACATGTCAAAAGGCCAGTTCCTTATTTAGGCCCGAATCCGCAAATGCATATATCCCCACAAGGATATAATCCTGGGCCGAATGGCATGGGGTTTATCATGCAAGAACCTTATCAACATGTGGGGACCAGTCATGAGGGATCTTTGGTTCGACAAAGTAGTTATGTCCCCACAATTGGCACTTCGACAACAGATGGACCATAGTAATCATGACATGGTTAATTTATTGTCGACTCAGATGCATAATATACTAACCCCTCTATATGAGTTAATAAATAAAATACGAGATAAAATGAGAGAAAATCCACCCTCGAGAGCCATGAGTGCGAACTTGAATGATATGGAAAATCAAGGTGGGAATGTAGTTTTTCCCCAAAATTTAGGAAGACCTCATAGGAACCTTGATGAAAATCTAGATCAAATTGTAGAATGGGTACTAAACAGGAATGGTTTCGAGGTAAGTCGAAATGAGCGTCCCTATTTTGTGTCTGCTTTTCCAGAATATGTAACTCAGGTAGAATTGCCTAGGGGGAAAAAGTCCCGAAATTTGCGGGAGAATTGAATGAGTATACTGTCGAACATATAGCAAGGTATTTAGTCGAATGTGAAGATCTAGGGAATAATGAATATTTAAAAATGAAGTATTTTCCGAGTTCGCTGACTAAACTTGCTTTTACATGGTTTACAACGTTGCCTCCTAATTCAATAAACACCTGGGCTCAATTAGAAGGAAACTTTCATGAACATTTTTTTCGAGGAGAAACTAAAGTGAGTTTAGTCGATTTAATGAATGTTAAGAGACAAAATCATGAAACCCTAGATGAGTGAATAGGTTCAGGCAGTTAAAATCTCGATGTTACACTAACATACCTGAACACAAATTAGTCAAGATTGCTGCAACAGGGTTAGATTTCTCAATATGTAAAAAATTAGTAAATGAACAACTAAGAGATATGGCCTACTTAGCAGAGAAAGTAAGAAGGATCGAGCAAA